GAATGTCAGCGTTTTGAGCGCTACGAGTCCAGGGGTTTCCACTACCGTGTGCGGAGTGAAGACGAGCATAAAGAAAGAGCCACGCGACTGAGACCCTCCACGTCAGACTCGGAACTAACCAGCGAACGACGACGAGACTTGATACGAAAACGGGACACGCGAAGCGTGCCCAAGCCTTTCTGTTCTAAACGACGGGCTGTAGCCCGGTGGGAGGCACGACAATACTTTTTAGATTGAATTTGGATCTTTTTGTTTTCGCGCCATGCCCGCACGCGCATTCCGCGACGCGCGAAATTAATCGACTTGCTACATTGGATTTACATGGGGGATTTCAGTTCCATCTGTATCCCCACACTCAATTTCCAAAAATCCTTGGCACACCCCAGCTTGCTGTTTTTCTGGGCCTCTTTCTGCCTGCCTAACACTCCGAACGGAAGACAGCATAGGGCGTGAGGTTGGTATCGGAGCCGACACGTGTCAGTTCTGATGATAGTAAGTCGAACAGCCGAGAGGTAGGAGAGACCCTCAACTAACTCGTCGAGATCGCCCAGTAACCCGGTCTCAGTCTAGTGCGGCTGCACCAGCAATACCAATGGTGGACGGTACTAGGGTGATTGTTAGCATCCCTGCCCCCTTCCCCTTCTTCCCTAGCTATACTCATCCCGAGACTTGGCTGGACGCTGTCGAAGCTCAAAACTACAGCGCAACCGATCTCCCCCGCGTTCTGACATTGCTACTCCGCAACACGTCAAATGACTGGTTTAGGAAACATACATGGGTAGATTGGGCTACTTTCAAGACAACCTTTTTGGCTCGATTCGATACAGTCAGTGAAGATGCCGCCTGGTACGTGCTAAAAAATCGACCCCAAGGACCAGAGAAGTTGTTGCCCGATTTCGTCGATTGGTTTCAAACTTTTGACAAATCATTGTTCCGCCGAAAACACACCAGTTATCGGCTATCATCACTAAAGCGTTGGAGCTAGACTTGGCTGATACAAAAAAATGTATCAGCCAGGGAGACGAGGGCATTACAGATACCATACGGGATGTAACGGCCAAAAGGCGATCATGGCTACAGGCGGCCGAACGATTTTATCCCCGCCCTGACCATGACCTTCCCGGCGGGATCGTTTCCGATATCCCGACTGCTTCTCCTCCCTCTCCCCCGGTGAATCAATTGATCGCAGCCGTTAGAAGCGGAACTTCATTTGAACCCCCCTCGCCGGCCGTAACCAATCTACACCTTGCCCAGATGATCCACACGGCTACTACTAAGCAGTCCGAATGGATGGGCAAACTGATCCAAATGCAGGCCGCTCATATGGAACGAATGAAACAAATAATGAGCAGGCTCATTAAGCGTGATCCAGCTCCTGCTCGGCCTGCCCCTACATCGTTTCCGCTCTTATCTGCTCCGCCTGCTCCAGGATTCGCCCCTCAGTATCCCCATCTAGCTAATCCGGAAGGAAAGATCGAGTGTTTCAACTGCAAACAGTCCGGGCATTTTGCCCGAGACTGTCCACAGCCGAAACGTAATCAGCCTCCTCCTGCTACGACCCCTGTCGCCCTTAATCAAGGACGAGTGGCCGCTCTGATGGACACGGACCATGGAGGATAGCTTGTAGCATATGCTCCAGAACAGCCTTCCTCTTCGGCGATAATAGCGTCGACCTCAGGAGCTTCTTCCTCTGACGCTGGTGACGTGGTCGATCCCCTCGAGTATCTCCATCTTGCCGGAATGATCGGAGCAATCCGATCGGCCCAAGATGATCTCGAGTGGGTCGATCGTGAGTCCAATCCTGGACCACAGTTTCGGACAGGAGATATTGATGTATTGAAAACGCTCAAGCAATTAGATATTCGTGTACCTATCCCAGTGGGACATCTGCTCACCACATCTGAAGCAGCGAACGATACACTTCAACAACATTGCGAGAAAAATCAAAAGCGCTTCACCTATCAGCACATACAACGGATGTTGAAGAAGAAGGAAGAAAACGAGGAGATTGCACCTCCTGAGCCTGACACGAAAGAACCCGAAGCTGCACGAATAGTTGTGATCTCTTTAGCAGAAAAGGATCACTTCGTACGAACTCGGTCAGTACAATGGAAAAGTGCGGAATGTGACTGTGAAGTTTGGGGTAAACCGTTTAATGCCCTAATCGACACAGGGTCTTCTGCAGTGGCCATATCATTGGAGACTGTTAAAAAGACGGGATGACTTGGATCCATTCTTCCTCAATCTGGCAAAGACAACTATGTCTCTGCTGATGAGGAAGCAATGAACATTGTAGGCATTATCGAGAACGTGGCGGTAAAGGTCGGGCGAATACACGTCCTTGTTAACGCACTCGTAATAGATGTACGTTCCTACTATGTGTTGTTGGGATTACCTTGGACAATGGCGGTGGGCGCACGTCTGCATTTCGATTCAAGACAAATGATACTCATACAAACCGGGGGAAAACCTCAAACTGTTCCTTTGCGAGTTTCCACCCGAACAATAAATCGGATCCCTAGCTCGACCCAAATAGGGATGATTGGATGCATTGATCCCGAGGAGTGCTCCCCCTCACGCCTCGGGGATGGAATCAGGGAACGAGAATACGAAGAAGAGATGCCTAGTAAAGAGGAATGGAAGCATCTGGTTGGACTTTTCGAACATGAAACCCTCGAAGAATTTCGAGTGTGCCCCGACACCGCTCGAAGCTTCCACGTGGATTTTGAAGACAGTGCATTCACGCCTCTAACAACCCATGTCAGTCCTTCAGTCCTCCTCGGGGAACCCATATTACAAGTTTTCGATCTGGCTGATGATTTGGAACCCCCTCGCACCTTGTACGAGGGAGCTCTTTCCTTACGAACGCGTTATCAGCAAACGGAACAGTATTTGGACGTTTCTATTTTTCCACCCCGATCGTTACTAACGACAGGAGCCACCATCGCCTTGATTAAACAAAGGGCTGAAGCACCGGTAAATGATGTACCTAATCTGATGCAAGAAATGATGGATCTAACAGGGCAAACTATGGAACCGACTTCGGTTGGTTCAGAGACTGACGCTGAAACTAAAGAAACAAAGATGATCAGCCCCGCTGAGTCCCAGATGATAGCAACTGTCTTTTCTGTTCGCACCAGTAGTTCCGTTTTCTCTAGTGGTCATGAGTGGCGGGAACGGCCGGTTGATTGGATCGATATGCCCCTTAATATGTCCGGGGAATCGATGATCCCCCTCCCGAGTCACGTTCCCGCGGAACTTCGGAAGTCGTTAATCTGTGTATTGAATGGTTACGCAGAAGCGCTGAGCGTGCATGACAATGATATTGGGTTAACTAATTTATTGAACATACCATTCTCACGGGAGATCATCCGCCCATTAGCTGCGCTCCCTACCGATACTCGCCAGCGCAACGATCGGCCGCCTTTCAGCGGATTAAGGAGTTCGAAGCTAATGGATGGATCGAACCCGCTATAGGACCATGGTCTTTTCCTGTAGTGATAGTACCCAAGAAGGCTGGGGGGATTCACATTTGCATTGATTATCGAAAGCTGAATGATATCACGATTAAAGATGTGAATCCCCTCCCCCGGATTGATGAGTTATTGGATGCGATTGGGAGTGCTCGATTTTTCAGCAAGTTTGATGTTCGTCATGGGTTCCATCATCTTCTTGTCAGAAAAGAAGATTGTCTGAAAACCGTGTTTGTGCTTTTCGAAGGTACGTGGCAATGGATTCGATGCCCGATGGGTATCTGCAACGCCCCTGCGATTTTTCAGCAGGCCATGAACATGGCTTTTCAGAATTTCGTGCGGAAGACTCGCCTGGTGCAGAGCATCATCAACTACCGCGTGATTGTGTACATGGATGACATCTTGGTGTATTCGAGCTCCTACGAGGGACACGTGCAGCACATCGAATGGGCACTGCATGCGCTACGAGATGCAGGTTTCAAAGTGGCGCTTCAGAAGTGTCAGTTTTTCCTCACCACCATTTATTTCCTAGGGCACGTGGTGACAGACAAGGGACTCCAACCGGAGCCGCAAAAGGTGGCAACTGTCAGGGACGCGCAAGTGCCTACCACTATCACGCAAGTTCGCGCCTTTCTGGGCCTAACCTCGTATTACTGAAGATTTATCAAGGGCTTCGCGGCGATCGCGGGACCCCTCACAAATCTCCTGCGCCAGGATCAACCGTTGATCTGGACGCCGGAGTGCGATCAAGCGTTTTCCAAACTCAAGGCTGCTCTCATTTCGGCTCCGGTCCTTATAAGACCGGATCCCGAAAAACCTTTTGTTCTCATCACCGACTGGCAGCCAGAGGCGATTTCGGCGATCCTTGCCCAGGTGGGACCGAGCAGACTCGGGAGTGTAGTGGAGTATGCGTCCAAATCAGTGCCCGCCTGCAAGCACAATTACATCGCTCCAACGGGTGAATGCTATGCGGCTCTCTGGGGAATCAGTCACTTCTGTGCTTACCTGTACGGGCGAAAATTCACCCTGGTGACTGATCATGAGCCCCTGTTGGCTCTGAAGAAGTCGAAGGATTACTCGGGCATGATTGGGCGATGAGCAACGATGGTGCAGAGCATGGACTTTGACATTCGTCATCGAAAGTATGAGAGACATGGGATTGCGGACGGACTGACACGACTGCACCGGCCTGAGAAGGGTTCAAAGGGTGAGGAGATAATTCCATGGAACGAACCCGAACAGGAGATCGGACCTCGGTACGGCCAAGTGGAGATCTTATCGAAGCAGTAAGTGACACGAGGACTAATTGTTCTCTTCTGCTCTCCCTTCATCCCCTCCTCCTCTGCCACGATGACTACCCCACTTGCCTCCACAACCCCTTCTTCTCCTACTAATTCTACCCCTCTTACTTCCTCAGCTTTTTTCGACACCCTCCCCGATAAATTCTGCTATTTTTGCACCTATATTGCACGAGTTTACGGGTCGACTGTCATCCCTTCGAGACCGGATTTGTCGATTGGGTGGAATGTGCCACGTGTGTCAATCATGCGTACGGAGCCTGCGTTCGATATCGAACGAGTAGCAAGGAATGGAGGTGCCCCCTGTGTAGAACGAACAAATTCCCTACGGAGGTTCGATTCGAGGCTGCTCGTACGGATGGTCCTCAATACGACAAAAAATACCGACGGGCGGAAGTCTGGACGGATAAAATTTTATTGGCGAAATTAGCGGGAGTATCATTGGGCCACCTCACCAAACACGACAGACGTAGGGCGACCGAGAGATCTCGGGACTATCGATGGATCAACGGTCATTTGGAAAAGCGTAAAACTGATGGATCGGGTTGAACTCGTGGCTGACAGTTCCCCATCCCTTCCAGAGATACGATTGGATCCGATCTTCTCACGAGGAACAGGCCGCTCATTTCGCGATACGTGTCACAGAGGCAACTGTAGACCAGAACCGATGGTTCTGGTCCAATATACGAGATGACGTCAAGTACATTGTCGCTAACTGTCTGGTCTGTGCCGCTGATCGCGCCCCTATACGGGGACCAAACACGATCGTACCAACGGAAGTASARCRTCMYTTCCAGCGAGTCAGTATGGACACGACAKATATTGACGTGCCACCTGGCCCAAACCGCTGTGAGTATTCTATCCTGTTAGTTTTAATTGACCATTTTTCCAAATACAYCGAAGTCTATCCCTGTAAGACCCGAAAGGCCGCAGAAATAGCCACGTACATCGAACGATTCCTCTATACCCACCTTGATACGGAAGAAATTCTAACTGACAATGGGTCGGTATTCAAAGGTGAGGTGGAGGAACTGCTTGCGCGAAGGGGCGTCACGCTCCGATATACGGCACCCCACGTATCCCAGTCGAACGGGTTGGCCGAGAATGCCAACCGTATGATTAAAACCGCCCTTCGAAGGAACTTAGCGGCACACGACACGCGTCCTTGGCCCGAGATCGTATATCAGATCGTTGGGATCCACCTGGCCACCCCTCATGAGTCTACGGGGTTTACCCCCTTTCAGCTTCGAACTAATAGCGTCCCCTGTGTCGATTACCGGGGTAACTCGAAAATTGCCGAAGCAGGGGGTAGAGACACGCGTGCGGCCCTCAAGGCCAAGGCCAAAAGGTACACCGATTTGGTGGAACGAGCCGTTCCGAAGCTAGCCCGAAAAAGACAAAGGATGACCGAGCTGGCCCATGGTAGACAGGTCCGTAGCTACGAGGCCCGGAACGGAAATGCTGGGCCCCAATACCAGTATAAATTGGGGGACCTAGTACAGGTACGTAAATGTGCACGCGATCGGAAACTCGCTTCCAAGTTCTCTGGCTGTTTTCGCGTTGTCGAACTCGGGCCCAACGGCGCCAACACGGTGCGCATCGTGCCTGAGGCTAGCGCTAGCCATAGCTTCGTCCCCATCGTCAGACATACCTCCTACCTCCGTCTCCTTCCTCCTTCCGATTTTCCTCCCTCTTCTTCCTCGGAAAGCGAGGAAAATGACGACGATCTAACCCTCTCTCCTCTTTCTCCCTCTTGTCCCTCGTCCTCCTCTCCAACCTCGTCATGAGTTTCATCACGGAGTGGGTTCTCGATGCACAGTTGCGGCAGCCACATGGCCAGATCTCAGAGATCCGACAAGTTTGTCACCCTGGACTCAATACGAATCTCCGTCGTTTGATGCAATTCTTCTGCGACGAAGGTATTTGTGCCGCCGCCGCGTTTCGGATAGAAGGAAGCCCTCACACGATAGTGTTCACGGAGGTTACTGCACTTCATCGGCGAGCGGGTCCCAGAACGAGCCACGTCACCACAGTGGCGGCATTCAACGGCGACATCAGCTCGGTCAATCCGCTGCGGCATACCGCAATCTTGGCCTTGCTGCGCGAGTGGACGGAGCAAGTGTCCAACGTGTGGCAGCACGTCCTCGCCGGGGAGGGGTATAACATCATCTCGATCTTTGCATCGGACATTGACGGCATTCGCCGATCACCGCGCGAGCGGCCAGTTGCGATCCCAACCCTCGTTCCCTTCCCCCATCCCCAATGAACCACGCCAATTTTCTCGCCCCTCTCTCTATGTTTGCTCTCCCCTCTCTCTTCCCCACCTTCTGGCAATCCGATCTCCACCCTTCTCTCTCCTTCTCGTTCGAACCTCTTTCGGTCCCTCTTATCCATCCTGGACATTGGCGGCTGTGGCGCGAGATATTTGAGGAGTTGTCCTTCTGCCTGACCCGAGTACAAGTGAAGTGGACGGGCACTATTGAGCACCCCACGTGGATCGAGAATCCGGAGCTGCTGATCATACAGGGTTGGAGGACTAACGCGGAAGGAGATCTTATTGGATTCCTGTTTGGATCGGTACGACTGGGTCGCCGTCAATTGATTGCACAGGAGCTCATCGCACTGATCGTGCAATTGGCGGACGATCTCTCGCCTGACATCTACTTTCAAAGTGACAACAGTCCTGCTCCGTACATTTTCGAGCGATCCTTGGATCCGTATCTTCAGTGGACTTCGTGCTTGGAGGAACCTAGGGACGAGGATACGCTACCATCGCGGAAGGAGTATCTGAAGCCGTACGAGATCATCCCGTACGCCTTCTACCCAAGGGCAGAAGAAGTGGTGATTGACGACAACGACGACGAAGAAGAAAACGACGACGAGGAGACATCAGAGGAGGGAAGCTATAGTGAACATAGCGAGGGCGAGCTGAGTGAAGAGGAAGAAGAAGGAACCGGGTCCGAGTGGGAAGCCCCGCCGGAGGAAGCGACGCGTACGGGAACGGAGGTGGAAGATCCGGAAGCGGCGCGAAAGCGCGAAAAGATTGCCTCCGGAAAGCGCCAGCTGGAGTTTGCTAGCGAGGCAAGCCTACGCATCGGTAGCGATCCGACTAGGGATCCAGAGCCGTCGAGGCCCGAAGATGGGGCCGCCACCTCAAGTACCGCGCGACGGAGACGGCACCGATCCCCCTCCTCCTCCAGCCCCACCCGTCCCCCAGTTTGCCCACGTACCAATGCGGGCGATAGGCCTTCGACCTTGGACGCTGCCCCGCCGACCCCTTGATTTTCTCACCCTCGAGCAGATCCGTACCCCCGTCACCTTCCCTTCCCATCCTTGCCATCCCCATCTCTTCCGCGACTTCTACTCTACCTGTCTACTCGCCACCGTCCAACCCCATGCCTCCCTTCAGTCCGCCGCTCCCACGTTCTCCTGGCATCTCCTGTTGTTCAGCGCTGCATGGGAGCAATGCAACATGGTAGAAGTTTATTGCATCGCCACGGGGACAATCCCCGCTTGCCGCCACTTCGAGAACTTTCGAGCGGCGTTTTTCCGTGCCCTCTCCTCCTTCTATCGCGACTACCTCGCCTCCCTCCCCCGCAGTGGCGATCATTTCCCCCGCTTCCACCGAATCATCCGATATGAGGAGCTCCCGGTGACGATGGAAGGGATGAATCGCTTCCTACCCCCACTCCCCCCCCGTCATCCCCGCGTGATCCCCGMCATGTACCGCCTCTACTGGCCTATTCCAACTAGGCGGTAGATCCCATTCACTTGACCCCCCCCCCCTTTTTTTTTCTCTCCTCCCTTCATCGGCACGAATCGGTAAGCTTCACGAAGATCACGCCATCAACGATGACGTCAACCTACGCGCTGATTCGACAGACGGCAGCAAGGGTGCAGAGCACACGGAGATCGGATGGACCATGATGGCGTCACCTGGACGATCTCCACGAGGCAGAGGGTTGCATATGACAGGGCTACAAAGATCTTACCACGGATGTTGTCGCCATCTCATCCGCGGCCCAGTTATCGTTCCTTGTACTTCTTTCTGCTCTGTTGATACGCTTGGTTCCTCATGCATCACTCTGTTCTCCCCTCTTCTTTTTCGCCATGACATGCAATCAGGAGATCGCATAATTTTGGAACCCCCTGCGCGTCACATATGTGACGAACCACTTCCCGACCCCGTGCCATCTTTCGTACCCTGTCTTTTGCTTGTATCATACCAACCCCAGGAAAACCCCGTTTTGAGTTCTTGCTTTCGGGTGCCGCATTTTCCTTTTTGAGAGTTTTTTAAACTGCTGAGTTCAATTTTTCTTCTTGCAAAGTCGGAAAATATATGGGAATTTACGTGCGCCTTAGCGAGCGCACTGGGACTTGGGCTCGGTAGTTGGGAATTTCAGGATAAGCGGAACTTCGACGTGTCTTTTTTGGGTGTGTGAATGTTCTTGGGCGCGTCGGGGAAAACTCTCGGAATTTTGCGTGAATACGAATAGGCGTGGGATTTTCTTTTCCCGTGTCGCTTTTTCGCGCGCGGATATCGTGATTTCAATTTTAAATTAGGATAGAAGCAAGCTATAACGATTTCGGTGCCTTTTTCTTTTTTTTGTTGACAGCACCATGCATGCAAAAGCTTCCTCCTCTCTGTCCCCCGCATCGCTCCCTCCCGCGCCTCCCTTCCTTTCTCCCTCCTTTTTCTTTCTCCCCGCTCTCTCTCTCCCGCCTTGCTTTCGCGCGCCCATTTCCCTTTCTTGATCATCTGAATCTTGGACCCGTCTTGCGCCACCTCTCGCGCCTTTTCTTTTCTCACCCTCTACGTCTGGCGTACGACGCCCGGTCGATCCCCCGTTAACTCCCGCTCGCCAATCAGGTGCGTGGATCGATAGGACCTTCCTATCGTGCGACGAATCTGATTGGTTGAACCTTGAGTTCCGAGGGATCAGCATGGTGTTCGTAGAGCACTCTTCTCAAAGTTTTTTCCTCCTGCTTCTCCTCTTACACCTCAGCTTTCCTGTCGCCTTCTCCCTTTTCTATCTCCCCTGTCGCAACTATAAAACTCGCTAGCGCGTCCGCAAATCTCTCTTACGTTCTCGACTCTCAAGCCAGCTTCCGGGAAGCAGTGGCTAGGCACAGTGTTTGAAGCCAGTCGGAAAGTTTTGTCGGGCTGATGATAGACTGGCCGGTTGCGCGCTGGATCGCCACGACGGACTGTGGGATCTGGGTGAACCGTGTCGAGTTTACGACAGTGGGGTGACGATCGCAGTAGTGGGAGTTAGCACGCGACGACCGGGATCGTCGGTGCAGGTATGAGGTTCGATGATTGGAGTTGAGCGAGTGATTGGCCCGGGGCCATAGTGGAATTAACGGCGAATGCGCCTTTGTTGCGGATTATTATCCTTGGCATGAGTGTAAGGCAGCGACGCCGAATTTTTCTCTTTTCAGACCTTGTCGTCTTCTATTTTGACTCTCTCTCTCTCTCTCTCTTCTCGAATGATGAAGCGTCTGAATGATTGTCCCGCTCTTGAATGGAAATGAGTCGGCATTCTGTGTGAAAGAACTTCTTCCGGAACTCTTCCATTAGTTGCCTGGGTAATCCTCCTACGCAAGGACCCTGTCTTCTTGTCTTGTGAACGGTGGATGCGTGTGTACTGAGTAATGCGATCCATTTTTTTTCCTGTGCATGTCTCATTTTCGCACCTTCCACAGTGAATGCATNTGTCTTGTGAACGGTGGATGCGTGTGTACTGAGTAATGCGATCCATTTTTTTTCCTGTGCATGTCTCATTTTCGCACCTTCCACAGTGAATGCATATATGGAATGTGTGACTCTTTTGTTGATTAGACGATTGTCATCGGGATTTTGTTCGAGAATGCAAGAGTGTTTAGATTTGTAGCTCTGTTTGCACTGCGCATGCCATATGCCTCATGCTGCACGACATCAGCAGCCGAGCCACGAGGCGGCCCTGAGAAACAAGGCGCCCAGGGACCAACGTTGTGTTGAACTGATCGGACCCGTAGCCATATGAGTGATCAAGCTGATCTGTGTTTGCTCTCTCTCTCTCTCTCTCTCTCTCTCTCTCTTGTGTCAAAAAGATTGATTGAGGGACGCGCGAATCGCTTTTGTTCTTAATGACGTCTCAGGATATTTTGTGATTGATTGACATGTGGACTGACAAGTACCCTTCGATTGGGCGCCAACCTCCCGTATCTCYCATCCCAAMGCGACCTTTTCCTTACAGTGAGGAAAGGACACGTGTATGTGAGTGGGACGTACGAGAARCCGTTGCACAAATCGGCGGGCAGTATTACTTCCCTCCGACCAACCGCTGTTCTGGGTTCGTAGAAGCCGGGTTTGTTATTATCGATACGCACTTCCCACCTTACTCGGTATTGTTGCCATTTAACGAGTTGATCATCATTCCGTGGATGGCAGTAGAACCCCACTGGCCGCGCACTCTGTGCCCCGAATGTCAGCGTTTTGAGCGCTACGAGTCCAGGGGTTTCCACTACCGTGTGCGGAGTGAAGGCGAGCATAAAAAAAGAGCCACGCAACTGAGACCCTCCACGTCAGACTTGGAACTAACCAGCGAACGACGACGAGACTTGATACGAAAACGGGACACGCGAAGCGTGCCCAAGCCTTTTTGTTCTAAACGACGGGCTGTAGCCCGGTGGGAGGCACGACAGTACTTTTTAGATTGAATTTGAATCTTTCTGTTTTCGCGCCGTGACCGCGCGCGCATTCCGCGACACGCGAAATTAATCGACTCGCTACATCGGACCTACACGGGGGATTTCAGTTCCATTTGTGTCCCCACACTCAATTTCCAAAAATCCTTGGCACACCCCATCCTGCTGTTTTTCTAGGCCTCTTTCTGCCTGCCTAACACTCCGAATGGAAGACAGCACAGGGCGTGAGGTTGCGCGTCACACGGTAGAGGTGTAGTGAAGCATCCCGCCCTCCGGTATGACCATTGGTCATCCGGAGCAGCCCAGTTTTTCCAAGTCAAAATCCCATTTTCGTTCACCTCTGCCATTTTCTTCTGAGGATCGAGCCAAAGCTCAGAGAAGGCAGCCACAACTTTCCTCTTATCCTGCCCCTCCCTTTTAGCCACTAGCGCCTGCCTGAGTTTACTGCTGGCCTTTACGAGATTAGTATGAATGATTTCTACTAATTCTGCCTTGGCTTGATAGAGGCCGAAGACCGCCTCTTGCCTTTCCACTGAGCACCTTTCACGCCAGATAACCATGAGGACTGCCAACCTCGTATGTTTGAACAGGTTGCGCTGAAAGGTTGTCCGTGCTGGGGGAGTATCTTTGCACTTTCCTAGTAGAATAAGAGCTACGTCCCAGCGGCACACCTCGCCCGTGAGCATATGCCACATTGCATCCCACCATTGCCATACTCTTTTTGCCATTGGGAAGTCGAGGAGGCAGTGCTCTAGGTCCGCCCTTCGTGGCTGGGTGCCGACCCACCCTAAATTGGGAATGCCGGAAAGATGCTTCTCAAAGGCAAAAGAAAAAACAAAAGAAAAACACAGCTTGCCACCATGAGGTCATACACTTTTGGCTGCCTTGGGTCCAATACATCAATAATGGAAAACTGTCAGGGCGCTGCAGAAGCCTTAGGGTCTCATCAACTGGTGGTTTTGAAGTGGAATCCCTTTCCTGACAACCCCCCCTTCCCCCCCCTCCTCCACCCTCCCCAGCACCCCATTTCCTCACTCTTTCTTTCTGAAATTAGGTTTGTTCCCAAATGGCATGTGCTTTGGATTGTGGCTGAGCATTTTCCACCAAATATCTGCACAAACTACCATCAACCTGGGGCGTGGTCCCACTAGCAAAGAAGATCGGATCCAATGCATGAATCTGGACGAGTTCATGGAGATGTGCAGGAAATCGAGATTGAACTGCTTTTCTGCATCTGTGCTTAAAGCACATCCAGATTCAGGAGCTCGATCCTATCCTTTTTGCTAGTGGGACCTCGGCCCTGGATTTCTCTGCGTGGTAACGCTTCAGAATAATAATTGAATCAAGCCAGTGTCCCTCTTTTTTTTTTTTTTGTTTGTTTGTTTTTGGGACCGCATTTCCGGCGGGCCGCTAGGAGCTGGTACTAAGAGCAGTTCCGAATGTTGAAAGCTCCATCTATTGGTGGGGAGCTGCACCTGGTCTGGAAATCGGGTCCAGCGTCACTCCAGTGTCCTGTGTCTCTCTATTCCTATAGTTCCCCAGATTGCACTCTTTTTGTTTTTTGATTGCACATTATTTTAGTTCTGAGGCTGTGGCTAGGCCATTAAACCACTAATTGAAATTGCACTAATACATTTCCCAGCCATTTTATGAGGGTCGACCTACTGGAGCA